CAGTAGGATTCTTGTAAATCGTCCCCCGAGACGGAGTTTTCGAAATCTTTTCCTCGCGGAGCAAATAATCATACTGTTCGACATGTTGGGCTAATTCATACATATCCCGAACATTTACCCCCAAGAATTTCTTTTTGTATTCGACGTCGAGGCCGTTCAAAAGCAAGCCGGACGAACTCGACTTCGGGCAAGGGTACTCGGCACCAATTCCTGGCTGATTTGAACCTGGTAAGATAATCCATTGGGGACTCATCTGATGCCTGAGCCATCCTTGCTAATGAAGAAACCGACACCTCCAACCCTGGTCGATAAAACTGTTCGTGGAATTTCTCGACCAACTCCTCCCAGTTTTGGATGGAATTAGGAGGGAGATTGATATACCAAGCAAATGCCGAGCCGGTCAACGAGAAGTTGAAACAGCCGTAATTTATGGAAATCACTATGAACATCGCCGCATTGCGCGGTGAAACGAGCCACGTGCTCAAACGAAGACAAGGACGATTCACCGGCAAAAAGGCTAAAATCTGGAATCTTGAAACCTTTCGGATATCCGAACGTTTCTATGTAGGCCGGGTACGGATGGATAAACTTAGGAAACTTCGGCCCTTTCTTCATGGCCGAGTCGATCATCCGCTGAACCTCGGTCATATCAACAGGTGTTGCTTCGACCCTCTGGTCGATTCCGTCCGACCTACTATTTGACCCTCCGACCTTTTCCAAGTCAATTGGTTTGGGCCGAGCAGGAATTGGCTCGGCCTGTACCATTGGTAACGGATTATTTCTTGGTGGCAAGCGCTGGAAATGATCGAAAGGCCTGCCGTCACTGAATTTACTAACCAGCATTTCGAGCAATCTGGTTTGCTGCTCAGTGGAATTGAGTATCACATCATGTAGCTTGTCAATACCTCGGCTAAACGTCTGCTCGACTGACCGAGACTGCTCGTCGAGTCGCTTTTCGAAGAAACGACCTTGTTGGTGGGTCAGATCCTTCACCGCCATCCTCGTCGCAATCCTCCACTATCCCTTCATTGAGAACACAGGTGTTCCTGTTAGGGATTTCTAGACTGCGGTGTTGACCGCCGAGATTAACTTCCCTCTCTCTCGGCGAGTCGCACTTGTGGACTCAGGTGTCCCGGCGCTAAGGGGATTCTGCGCCTGTGGCACACTTTGTCCTACGTTCTGAATCGGTAAATCGGCTGTTGATTTTCCCATAGCTGTTTTTCTTTTTACCTATCGCGTTTCAATTGGCATGAACTTCGTAGTTTTAGCACTGGGTCCCACTGGGCGTGCCAAAATGTTGACCCTAGAAATTACAAAGCCTACGTGGCGCGCAGGCCGAGTATATTCTCTAAGCTAACTACGTCCTTCGGTGATTGCGGGGCGTGCCAACTCGTCGGCCGAGGCTCGGCCGAGGAGTAAATTTGATGATGTTGCGTTGGGTCGCGCTACTGACTTCTCTGCGTCTTGCGATTGCGGCCGAGAAAGGAACACGTCTCGGCCTCTTTGGGTTCTCGAGCCTGAAGACAAGGCTGCTACTCTTACAAAGTTCACGAACCGAATTCGGCTTTCAATGTGCCGAATGTAATAACTGTAACACCTCACTTCGCCGAGAAGGCTAATGAGATGACCTCGACCAATAAGGATTCGAAAACCCTTCTCGACCAAGACTTGGATAGGTAATTGACCGTTCTCGCCGCAGTGCTGTTGATGCCAATGGAAGATACTGCGAGACCGACCAATTCTACGGTGACAGAGCTATCTATGCCGACTTAAGATATCACCGGTTGCTTCCACAGTGCTGTTGATGCCAACGGAAGATGTGTCAGCGAAAAAAGGAAAAGAAAAAGATCTCAAGTTGTGAGAGTTTGCGCAGGGCAATTTTGTGTTGATTTTGTGGGGCTTTTCCTGATGCACAGCTTCCGCTATTTATAGCACTGGACCCTGAATCTGAGATAGAATCCTATTCGGACTAGGTTTTCCCTCTCCGGATCAATATCACCTCGACCAGTCCTATTTTCATTAGGATTGTGAACCTAGTCCTTATTCGAGCCCTATCCGCTTCTAGGTTGTTAATCCTGCCGAGACTCCCTATTGTATCAGGACTCGGCTTGTCATTGCATTTTGACCTAACCGGCCTAGGTTTGGAAGCCCACAAGCTGAACGATCCATGGTCTTCTTGTCGCAAGGCCTTCCGGGCCGAGAATGATTCTACACTCGGCCCAAACTATTATTTTGGGCCCAAACAAAACCTAATAAGGTCAAAATTGTCATTGCATAGTAAGGTAAATAAGTCATTAATATTAAATTTTAATGTGGGGTGCATTCAACATTTTGTGGGGTGTTAATATAAAAAGTCTAAACGATATTAGCTACATTAAGGAAAAATAAGGTTGACTTAGCCTTATAATAATTTAACAATAATGTGGTTTAAATTCTTTTTTGGAGAGAATTGAATCTAAAACCTCTAACTTACAAGTGAAGAGGAACAAGACTAGACTGTAAATTAAGTGATTAGATTTTAAATGTTTAACGCTTGTAGTTGTAGGAGGATGCTGGATCCTCTTTGTGGGGATGTTAGCGATCCTCATATCCTAACCGAACATCTTACATGATGTATCCAATTTTCGTTAGATACTATTTGTATTTAATTTTAATAAAAAAATTCAAATGATTTTGACCGCTTAATATACGACGAATGATTAAGATGTGAGAATCCTTAAATCCCACAATTTGGATCTGGTTGAGATCCAAATCCGTTGTAGGCAATGGCATGTAGGGAAGGGGACTTTGTTGACGTCATCATATATGCATTTGTCTGCATCGGAACTTTTTGTTTTTTTTAAAAAATAATTAAGTGCTTTTCTTATTATATTTTTTATACCGTATATGTACTATTCGTCTAATAGCAATGAACATGTATTTGCGGCTCTACTTCTAATAGAGTTTGCAACTGATAATCATATTAACATAAATGTAGATCAGTAAGTGTAGCTTTACTCTAATTTCTTTTAAATCCTACGTATATAGCTTGTAATCGATAATTATATCAACATAAAATCAACAAAATAAACACAAGAGTGATTGTATTCATGTCTCATTGTAGCAAAAATGATTGACTGGAGTCGTCAAGGAACCATAATAATTTTTCCATATTAATTTCGTAAAATATATTTAGCAAAACTAATCTTTATATTAATCATAATAGTATTACGGTTTAAATTTCATTATTATTTTATTAGCTTTCCGACGTAGGAATATTTTTAATATAAATATTAGCGTATCAGATGTTGATTTTTTTATTTTTTGGTAACGAAATCTTTAGTTAATTGAAAAAAAATGGCACCACACATTTTGTTGATGACTGGAAGAAACACCAGGCCTAGCCACCAGCGAGGCAATCAGTGCCTTCTCATAAGAGCAAGAAAAGAGCAAGTCCACCCAGAGGCGGCTTCCGGAGGGAGTGAAAACTGCAATCTCAGGGTTCTAAAGCCCCTTATTTATAATGTAATAATGTTGTACTTGTACATTAAAAAAAAATAGTTTTATTAACACTTTAAAATCTTTTTGTGTACGTGTAATTTTCTTCTAAATATAAATTTGAAACGCACAATGAGATATTTGAAGTGTTCATAACAACATCCTAAATCTAGCAAAAAAAAAAAAAAAACACCCTAAAAACGTTTTTTTAATCTAATTTTGTTATATCATAATGCTTTGTATTGGATGAGGATCCTCTCCGGATCCTCTTTGTGAGGATCTCGGGAATCCTCCAAGCGAATCAGTTTATCGTACATTGTGCGACCAGTTTTCATAAGTACTATTTATATTCAATTTTATATAAAAGAATTTTCAATGATTTCTGACCACACGATATACGATTGGAGGATCCTTGGGATCCTCATAAAGAGGATCCATAGAGGATCATAATTCCCTTATATTCAAGTGAAACTTTAAAGTTAGAGTTATTGAAGCTTCTTTTCTTGTTTGGTTGTTTAAGATTAAATTGCTTTGGATTATTTAGTAAAGATTATGTTTGTAGCTCTTTTTACGTATTATTTCATGACATTTGTAATCTTTCAATCAGTGAGTCCTAAAATTTGTTATGATTTAATTTATTGCTTTCTAGTATCAATACATTGTCCTACTTTTTTTTTTTTTTTTTTTGGAAAACCATCTTAAAGAGGCGCCCTTTTTTTTAAATTTCACATAGGTCTCTTGAAATCTTAGAGATAGCCCTCAATCCACCCATTACCCAAAAGGCAGGGTAAGGGCTGCCAAATTGCTGTTTAGCCCGAAAAAAAACACTTTCACCTGTCCATTTTGTGGGGGGCAATTGATGGGCCAACACATGACCATCCAACATCCTGAGCAATTTGAGCCCGACCATGCAGCAGCAGGCAAGGCTGACGTTAGTATGACATCAGCCATGTTCGAGTGAGCGGAGCTGGCAACTTTGGTTATTATGGCGTGGCGAGATGTTAACCCTGGGATTTTCACGGCCTGATGGTCTAGAACAATGAATTTTCAACAATAAAATAAAGTTGAAAAAAAATTATTGGTGTACCACTTGACACATTCTAGTGTGTCAAATTCAATAATAAGAAAAATCAAATGGTCAAGATTAATCCAGTTGTTAAAAATAGAATTAAAAACTTAGAAAAAGGGGAAAAAGTTACCCGACCATCTTCTGCATTTGCCTTTTAATTTTAAATAATTATGCTTGTTGTAATGCTATGTTTTGCTTTGTATTTAAAATCAAAATATCAGATTTTTTTTTAACAAATGATATTATCTCTACTAATAGAATGCGAGAAGCCACCTTTGGTGTCTAAGGCTTCACCAAAAAACAAGTGGACTAAAAAGTCCCTGAAACAAAAAAATTTAAAACTGAAGTAAATTATGAATCTAAATGTTTCATGGGCATTTGTGTAAAAAAAACAAAAAAAATTGAGAAAAAAAAAAGAAATTCAAACTCACTGGATTAGCACGTTTAGTTTTCAAATTGCATAGTTTCCGTACAGTTTTCAAACTCACTGATTACCAGCGGAAACCAACCCACCCACCCACGTCTCTCCTCTATTCCCCATTTTCTGATCAAACTTCTTCCTCACACAGACTCTGTAACCTCCCACGATTCCACGGACAACTCTTTTCTTTCTGTTTTCTCTCTCTGCCCTTCGCCGTTTGTGAAGCAGAAACCACATACAAAGCTCAAAAGCAGCAAAGGGTTAAAAACTGGCGTATTGTATCCGACGGGAAGATCCCTCTGAAACCAAGGCAATCCAATCTGGGATCCTTAAACCATTGCCATCCAAGAGCATTCCCGCGTGCAGATGACATGCCTGAATGATCAACACCAGCACCCCACCCAACACTAGCAGCCTTTGGTTCTTCCACAGAGGAGGATTTTTCAGAGACTTTTCCCGCATAACCCTGCCAGCATTGTAACTCTCTTCCAAATCCAGTTTTTTTTTCTCTATAGCTTTTATCCATCTTTCTCATTTTTCCTGGTAATTTTTACTTTTTAAGATTAATTTGGTGTCTGGAATCTTGCATATTAGGTGTTTGTGAAAATTCCCCAGAGACTAATCGATAGTTTGAATGTGTAAGTCGAGTGAATTAAGGTTGTTGTAATCTATTTGTGTGTTTAATCAGTAATCCAGTGAATTAAGGTTGCTGTAAAGAGACCATCCACAAATTAGTACGAACCAGAGAGAGACAGAGATACCGAGAGCACTACGACTGCGAGGCCGCCGCCACCGCCGGAGCGATCACTCCAATTACAATACCCGAGACATCACCTTATCCCAGGTAGGCATTCGGCCGGCAACCAAACGCCATCGTTTTGCTGTGAAATTTGTTACCTGTCTCTGTCCACCCACCAAGATCAATCTCCATCTCTCTCCTTCCACTTCCTTCCCACCTCTCTCAGGTACTTTTTAATTTGAAAATCTATGTATCTGTAATTTTGTTTCTGAAATTTATTTGCTTTCTGCAGTGTTTTGAATCTTCTGATTACTTCAGGATTGAATTGTATCTGCAAAAGGAGTTTTATTTTTTATTTATTTGCTTTTTTTAATTTTTTTAATTTTTTTTAATGGTGATGGGTTTTATTCCATGAACATTCTGATTGCTGCAAATTTGAATTTTGCAATTGGGTTTTGTTTTTTGAACCTTTTGGATGTTCCAAGATTTGATTTTTGCAAAAGGGTCTGTCTAATTACATTGGGTTATGTGTTTTCCAGGTTGATCTTCCTATTAATCCTTTTATTTTTGAAAAATTAGGATAGCTGCGTGTTTTCCTTTCCCAAATTATGGTTGCTTTCTTAATAGATGTGGGGGATTTGTATCTAAAAATATCTCTTTGGTGTGACTTTATAATCTTAAGTACCTTCTGAAATTTTCTATGTTTCCTTATTTTTCAAGTCATGGTATTATATAGCTGCATTTGATTTAGGTGCTACCATCTTTCGCAGGAAACATGACGGTGACATAATTGATTATGTTTTGCGCTTTAGTTAATACAATTGAATTTCCTCATTAAATTATGTTGAACAAAAAAAAAGCAGATTCATTAAAATTCGAATTCATGTATTTTGAATAAGATGTCAAACTGTAAATCAGGAAGGAAGGAAGCGAGGAAGGAAGAGATGAGACGCACCGCATCGGCGGAGGAGTTATCAGCATCCATTTCGGGGCAGAGCTTGGCGTAGAGTTACTATCAACCATTTCGGGTATGCCTGGACTTGCTACTTTCACTCAACCATTCGCTAATATGCATATGAAACACCTTGCCATCCAGACTTTCATTCTTTCTGCAATGCAAATAATGTCCACTGCCCATCTTCTGATACTATAGTATAATATGTTCCATAAAATGCTAAATGTAGCGTAATTGCTACTGGGAAAGTAGATATAATCCCATTTTCCTGTGTCAATTTGGTGACTTTAGTCTCTTCATATCTGTGTTTCTGTCATGACTCGATCATCTTGATAACAATTCATCTATTGATTTTTTGAAACTGCTATGAGCAGTTACGTTTGGGTTATATCTTTCGCCATGACACAAAAATTGACTCATCTCAGTCTATCGGATATTCAGTTTTTTTTCTTTCTTATTTTTACCCCTTCTCTTTTGTGTTCTTGGCGTTTGATTTCATATTATTGGGAATTAATTGTCTTTTGTGGTAAAGTCAAGGTTTCTCAACTGGAATTCGACAAAAGCTTTGCCGTGGAGAAGTAATATAGACTTTTATGGTTTAATATAGACTTTTATTGTATTGCATAATTTCAGTTTACTATCTACAATTAGATTTATTGAGATTACTCACAATGGTTCATCTTCTAATGATTTTTATATCAGTAAACACTGTGCCTTCAAACATCCGTACTTTTGATACAATAGCCTTCTTTTTTTAAACTGTAATTTTGCACTTTAGTCAAACATTGTATTTGTGGAAAATACTACTAAAAGTATTGAAATTCACAGCAAAGCCCAGACTTGCAGTAATATGCCATATTAGCATATAGCTGCGTAAATTGTATCTCACTTCATCATCGTCTCTCTACACATCTTTCACGAACCACCATTTCAGAATAAATAGAACTTTAATCTCCTCAATCTGGAGTTTTAAATAATCCTTGGAGTTTGATTTTATATTATTGGGAATTAATTGTCTTTGTTAATCCATTTTTTTGTCTACTTTCCCCTCTATCTTGAGTTTTGATTTTGACATATATGCAAACCTATTGAACATAAATACTCCTCACTCTGACTCTGCAATTCAATTACAAATAATGCTAATGTTTGATTTTAACCAAAAACATTAAATTTTCAACAGGACGGCAATATGAGTTTATGATATGTTTTGTTGTCAAGTGTATCAAGGTCAATTGAAGTTCTTGGATAGTTTTTATACTTTTTATTTACCTTTTAGTTGCAACTAAATTATAATGATATTCTCTGTTATTTAAAACTTTTTTTTTTGTACAAATTCTAGATAAATACTTTAAATTACTGCCTGTATTATTAGAGATGATAATTGTCTTTATTTTATGTTTCTTCACATTGAGCCAATCCTCCCATATAAATACATCTAAAATGTGTAACTCACGCGTAGTGCGCCGTGATTAAAAAAGTACATTTTGCGTGCGCGTGAGGACACTGTAATAGGCACTGCTGTGTGCGAGAGAGTATCCACGTCAACAGCTTCAAATTTATTGCTTCCAGTTATGTGCAGCCATCTTCTAGATTTCATCCCTCACCTCCATTGTCACAGCCCGTCCCGGAATTTTAATTCCGAGGACGTGAAAAGACCAAAATGCCCTTAAGCGGGACTAAGGGGCAAAAAATTTAACAATTAGATTTATATTTGTATGTGTTAAATTGTGTTTGGACTTAGGTAGGGCCTCCTACCCTCAAAACATTCCCTAAAACCCGTAACATTTCCTTCTCTCTCTTTTTCTTCTTTCATCTCAGAAAACTCTCTCACTCTCTCTCTTACTCTCGAACATACGGACTCACACCCAACCTCAATCAAACCTCCACGAACGTTCCATTTAAGACCACCATCGTGATCCTGAGGACTTCGCGAGCTCGGGGATACCAAACTCAGGTGAGTTTCACTTCGGAAAACCCTAGTTTCAGTGTCACCGTAATATTGCACTGTTCACGAACTTCAAATTGGCTTTGTTTTAGGCCAAACCAAGCTCACAGTGAGCTTAAGGAAGTCCCAAGGAAGCTCGGAGTGCTTCGTTGGAAGTTTTTGGACGTAAGAACACGGAGATCGACAAGTTCAAAGTTTGGCCGGAGCTTTCGAGGCTCTTTCCGGCGAATCCCCGGTGAGTTAGGAGTTGAGGTAGGTATCAATCTCTTCGTCTCGTCAAGTACTACAACTTTCCTTTTTGTTTCACTCAATTTCGTTGAGTATTGAAGAAGTTATACTCATTTGAAAAATACCCAGTTTCCGGCGACCTCCGAGGCTTTCGAGGCAGTTTCCGGCCAAACCACGGCGAACTAGGTGTTGTGCAAGGTACCATTCTCTTTGTCTCTTCAAGGGCTACAACTTTTGTTTTTGAATCACTTGATTTCGTTGAGAAATGACAAAGTTATGGCAATTTGAAACACTGCCCAGAAAACGGCCACCGGAAAAACCAGTCCGGCGACCCAAGGAAGAAGATGATGCGCGTGGGCCATGCTTGTCTTGGCGCGTGGGGGCGCGTGCTACATTAAAAAATTATTTTAAAAATATGTCGACGTCCGTGACGTCGAGTAGATCACTGTGGTATATTCATATACCTAAATTGAACACCGTATGAGAAAGTTATTAAGGATTGTTGGTTAGGTTAGGTTCGTTGGTTACGAATAACGTTTTATAGTTTTCACATTTAGGTAAAAATGTGAATTGACGATCCGACCGTTGGATGGTAATGAAATTTTAGGAGGTTATCCTAGAGATATATTGTGGACCTCTGGAAGTTATGGATTTAAAATCTGAGTGGCAGATCTTCCGGATCGAACTACGTAGTGACGTATTTTATATAAGTTATATATTCTATCGATATGAATTCTGAGGTTGGATTTGATTACTGTTCTAGGCGGCGATCGTCATGACGCCTTGATGTGTGGTGCTAGGGAGTTGTTGGACGAACTCCAGGTGAGTGGGCAGTTTTGTTTTCCGTATATATATATACTTGACGTTTTCCCAGAAATTGAAATTTAACGAAAGGTATATTTATTATATGAAAACGTGAATTGAAAGGCCATGCTTAGAAGTATATGAAATATATATGGAAATGTAAATTGAATTGCCATGCATGAAATGATATGAATCAAATGATATGAATTGTTATATGATGCATATGAATGAATGGTGCGGCGGACGCACAGGTGAGTATCAGGTGAGTATTTAATTACTGTTATGATGATGTTGATGTATATTGAGCTCAAATCCTGCACCATGGTTTAGTGCTTATAGTATTCACCGCATCGCACGCTCGCCTTGGATCCAAGTAGATGCTGGTCGCACAGTCCACGCGGAGTGGGTGCGACGGGCCAGTCGAAGAGTGTTAGTGAGATTTCGACTGGTGGGTGACCTTAGATTATGTGCACAGATGATTGATGAGAAAGCACTAGAGCGTAATATTAACCATTAAGTCGTACATACTACATTAGGTGGTTCCGACTTATGTGCAGAAGGCCGTACAGGTTACAGCTAGTGACTCCGGCAATAGGCCGTACAGGTCACAGTTGGTGACTCCGGCAGAGTGAGAGTGATAGATTTTGAGCTCTAGGTTCAACCGTACAGGGCTATTAGAGGGCCTCCGGTTGATTACTTTCTTGCACCTGATATGATTATTGTTGATGCATCCATACTTAACTGTTGAATTAGACATGGCATGGCATGATTGATAAAGAAAAAAATGTTGAGTTAATGAATTGAAGTATTGAGAATATATATGTATATTTATATTTTACATTTCTGGGAAAGTATACAGGTTTTACGGGAGAGGGGTTACAACGTTTTTGAGAAATGTTTGGATTTGGAAAAGAATTGTTTTACTGACCCACTCAATTTTTGGTTTTGCGCCCCTCCAGGTTCAGGAATCACAAAGGTGTGGTGACTACGAGGAATTCGACGGTGTTCTGACAGATTGGACAAAAGTAGGACTCACCTTCGGGTGTATCAACTTATAAATTGTATCTTAAAGCTTCCGTACTGTGTAAATGGTTACGTCACTATCACGTGACGGCCAGCATGCCCTCCTTCGGGACGGGGTGTGTCAGTTGGTATCAGAGCATGGTTGCAATCTTGGACATCTTGAGAAGTTCTAGTGAATTCTGTCAGAACTACACCGCCTCGTAGTAAGCCACTTAGTTGGAGGAATTTAGTCTCCCTAATATATCGGTTTAGGGAAAACTATTATTATGGTGATTCAGTCTATTATAAAAAGGGACATTTTAAGACGGATTATGAGTCGAATTTGAATCACCTTATGAAATGATGAACCTGAGGGAGCGAAGTAACGGTTTAACCATTTGGAAAAGATGTTTCAGGTTATGCAAGTCAAAGGAAATTTCCTTCTGACAAGGGGTCGAGACGACTACCTGGTTTTGGGTATGAATTTGTATCCTGGTGGAAACAGGATTGTTAATTGTTGTCACCGGAGGAAACAGCTGATTGAGAATTATTTAAGGACTTGTTTAAGGAAAAGTTTATCCCTCCGGCATTTATCGATGGTAGTAAGCAAGAGTTTGCAAATGTGAATCAAGGAAGTTTGACGATAAATGAATATTATAGAAAGTTTTTCAGACTTGCCTCGTTCCATCCAGATATTTGAGACAAGGTGTCTCGAGTAAAGGAAATGTACCTTGTGCAGCAGGTACAAAAATTAACACTTTGGGAAGTGTGAAATTAATGAATGTGTTTATGTGAACAGAGGGGACGCAGAATTGTGAATTGTCCCTAGAATCAGTTGTACTCAACAATTTTCCATGATATCATAGTGTCGATTCAGCAGAGTTATGGACTTAGTAGTTTGGTCGGATTGACCGTGAGTACAGAGAGATTTGATGAGTTATATGTTCAGCCGTACAGACCATGAGAAATGGATTCGACTGACACATGAGAAATTGGTGAGTTATAGGTTCGGCCGTACCGACCACGCGGAGTGGATCCGGCAGACGTATTATTGAGATAAGAGTTGAATCAGCCGTATTGGTCATTCTAGTTGACTTCGGCTGATATATTTCTTATTATGTATGTTGTTACCTAGAGAGTAGTAAATAAATGTAGTTGAGACGAGTGTATGTATTTTGCATTGAGTAACAAAATAGTAATGTTATATCTTTGAGAGTGGTTGCCTACTTATCGAGACAACGATGATTTATCAGTATTGCGGGCTGCAGACCGTAATATATTAATAACTCATTTGTGGATTCGTTAAGCAAGCAACCCGGTAGATTATATTTTATGTTAGTATTGTACTTATTCAGAATGTTCAGTAATAATAAAGTATGTATATGTGTCAGTTAATTCTGTTCCATTAGATTGGTTGGTTATAATTGTGACAAGACGGAATGTTACGGGAAAACCAGTACTTTCCATCGATCTGGATGACCAGAGATGACCAGACCAGAGATTACTTTTGTAAGTATGCAAAGTGGATTGAGTCAGGCCGTTATTTATGCTGTGAGAGCAAAGAGATTGTTTTCGAAAGGCTGTCAAAAAAATTATTAGCTCATGTGGTGCTAAATGATGTTGTTTGGAGTAGTGTGAATAATGTCAAAAGGGGTTAGACTTTCTTGATGTCTTCCTTGAAAGTATACCTGGATTGTCTTCAGGCAGAGATATGAGGTTCATTATTGAATTGTGTCAGGTATAAATTTATGTTAAAGATTGGTTTAGGATGAGTTAAGGGAATTGGAAATTCAGTTGAAAGAATTGGTTGATAAAAGCTTCATTCAACCTAGTACAACACTTTTGAGGAGCCCCAGTTTGTTGGTGAGGAAGAAAATGGATCTTGAGACTGTTCATTGATTATAGACAATGGAGTCGGGTAACGATTGAGAACTGTTATCCATGGTGATGTACTGATGTTTATTTAACCAGCTCATAAGTAATTGCGAAGATTCAAAGATTGAATTGAGATCTGGTTACTACCAATTGAATATTATAAGTGACGTTGATCATAAGATGGTTTTCTGGACTTGTTATGGTCCTTATGAAGTTTGGTGATGCTATGTGGATACTCATGCGGTTTTATGAGTTGATGGATGAAGTATTCCAATAATGCCTTGATAAATTGATATCATTTTCATTGAAGATATTCTGGTATATTCTGAGCCAGAGCAGAGCATGTAAACGTATTAAGTCGGTGAAGCAAAGATTGAGAGAACGTTGGTTGTATGCTAAGTAGCAAATGCTAAAGTTAGATGAATCAGGTGGCATTCTGAGATTTGTTATATATTCTTAAGGTATTCAAGTGAATCCTTAAAAGATAGCAGAAATTGAGAAT